ACCCCGGGGGGGGCTGTACCCCCGCCCCGCGGCTCCCGGCTCCCTCCTGGAGGTGGGCCCTGGTGCGGAGGCCCCGCCGTGGGTGTACGCGCTTCATCCCGCTTCGTCCCCGGGTGGGCAGTGGCCGAGCGGAGGTGAGAGGGGTGCTCAGGTGGGAAACCGTCTCCTGAATAAACAGGTGCGGGCGCTGCCCCGGGGCGGCCTTGGCTGCGCACGAGGTCCGAGCATGAGTAGTCCCGGCGCTAAGGGGTCGCGCCTCTCGCAGCCGATGGTGAAGAGCGTGCTGGTGTATCGCAACGGCGACCCCTTCTTCCCGGGGCGCCGCATTGTCGTCAACGAGAAGAAAGTGTCCAACTTCGAGGTCTTCCTGAAAGAGGTGACGGGCGGGGTGAAGGCGCCCTTTGGAGCTGTGCGTAACATCTATACCCCGCGGGGTGGGCATCGCATCCGGCAGCTGGAGGAGCTTCAGAGTGGAGAGCAGTATGTGGCTGGTGGCAGGGAAGCCTTCAAGAAGCTCAAGTGAGTTGCTTAAAAGTAACTTAAAATAGAACCTGAATATCAGTATTTGCTGTTTTGCACTGTGGCAATGCTGGAGAGCCAATATTGCCAGGGCCCTCTTTTTTAAGCATTTTATAAAGAGGACGTATTTAAAATCTGTCAGCCAAGGCCAAAAAACCTCCCCCCCCAAAAAAAAAAGGAGGTACATGTGACAGAAACACTGCAACAGAGCTTTGGGGGTGAGTCACAGAAAGGCTGCTGTTACCATCTGTTGCGCAGTGGCAACTCTTTGATATGATACTAGAAAAGGAGAAACAGTCTTTTAACCCAGAGGACATAGTGCATTGGCATGTTGTCATGACATACGTGCTTAACTCGGGCGAGTGTCAGTACTCAGTGGTATTAGAAAGAAAGCGCCAGAGAAGTGGAGTGTTGACAGTTTTGTGGTGAAGTTGATGAGCCTGGGAATTTAATTCCCAACGTTTCCTTTCTCGCTTATATTTTAAAAGTCTAGAATATTCTACCCAGCTATCTGGGCCTCCATCCATTCTGTTCATTTCAGGTAGGTATATAGCCTTTTTAAGATCAGAATGGAGGGGTCCCTCCTGTTAATTAAAAGATGACAAACTCCTTTCTTTTCCCTGCCCTGGCACCAAGAATTACACTGATGGTTTCTGTTTTCTAGGGAGTGACTGGGAAAATACCGTGGAGGAGGTCTGGGCTATTATGTTTGTTTCCCCAGTGGCTGTGAACATAATCAGTAATGATTCTTAACTCTGGCAGTGAATTTTATTGTCTTGATTGCCTAATCATATGTTTCATTCAGCCTTCGCAGTGTTTTTTTTCCCTACGACTCTGAAAATTAAGAATTCCTTTCTGGGGATAGTTGAAAGCCCCATGACGAAACCTCACTCGTTTTGCTCGGGTAGAGTCTACGTTTTCCAGGAGTGCTAGGTATGTTTCAGGATGAAATTCTCTGAATAATGAACAGAATCTCTATCAGCAATCTTACCATTTTTGTCACGATCTGCTTCTAAAGATTTATTGAAGTGTCTCACGCTTAAGTGGCAAAGCTAGGCAGAAAGATGTATGACAGGCTAAATATAAACCCCTTTCTCCCTGTATTCTCTTCCATGTCAAATGCATTGCTCAGCTTCCAAGAAAGGTCTACTGTATCTCTTGGTATTAAAATCTGTGATTCTGTGAGCGGCTTAAAGTTGTTAAATAGCTGTCAGCAAATCCGGTTTCACCTCCCTAAATGTGTTTTACGTTCACCAGACAGGCTAAAAGCTAGTAAATGTTTGGCCCTAGTATGCACTGCGTAGAGAACTGGGCTCCGTGGATTTATTTTTGTTGGGAAAAGGCATTTATTTTTGTCATTTCATGTAGAGTTTTTCTGGTCATTGACACACAACAAGATACCTCAGAATTTAAAGTCCACAAAGAGACTACTTGAACGGTAACCTAAAGCACCCAGTAAAAGCAGACTATTTTATATACCTGGTGACAGTGTGCTGCTATAGGTCCTGTGCTGGGAGCCAGGTGGGGGGAGTGAACTGGGGAGCTGGATCTTTTCCATTTATGTATTCAGACTTATGATTCTTCTCTGTTAGTATTTGTACAGTGCTGTAAACTTAGACAGTGGCTTTATAAGCATTATTTTAAGACAGGCTGAAAGGTTTAATGTTGGTCTTGTTCTTACCTAGATTGTAGACAGCACACAGAGTGGAAATTAGGGAGACTTCTTGGCCGGAACGGTCAGAAGAAAAGTAAGGTCACTTAGGAGGGCTCTCTGGAAGGAATTGAGAGACTAGAGAAGTGCAAGATTGAAGAGCGTACGTTTGTGTATGTGTCGCAGACAGAGATCTAGCAATCGCAGCTGGGGGGAACCAGAGCTTCTATCATAAAGGGGCTGACTCTGATCTTAGAGCAGCAAGAAGTTCGTAACTTGCTTACGGATTTGTTGCAGTGATGCTTGTTAGATGCACATTCATTGCTGTGCTACACTAAGTGAAGGTAAACTTTGGAATAAAGACGCGTAGCACAGATGAGTGGAAGTGTAATGGCACGGCGGGAGCGTCAAAGCGAAAGCAGAAACTGAAGGTGTCATCATTCCAGTTCCAGTGGTGCATTTGTTTCTTCACGGGCTCCTTAGACTGAGAACTGAATCTTTTTCTTCCCTATCCTCGCAGCATTCAAGATCTAACGGCTTTCACTTGTAGGACATGAACCTCAGTCATTTCAAGCCCTCAATTTTAATGCCAGAAGATGTACAGTTCTGAGGGTATGTAGTCAGTATCAACAGCTGAAATGTTTGATTTTTTTTAAATAAAAATAAATAAAAGTAATCAGCATTTGAAAAATTCTGCTCTTAGAAAAATAACTAGGAACTTTCTTTGAAAGAAGAATGATTAAGCCAATACTGGAAAATTTTCACAAAATATAACAGGGTTCCCAGCTTGTTTTGTCATTTGCAGCTACGCTGAGTGAGTACAAGCTGGTTTTGGCGTGTATGTGTGCAGGGAGGTTTGAGATTTTGTAGTTATTGCAGTTATCAATGACAGTGCACGTTCAGGCCTGCCACCTTTGTGGAGTTCTGTGGAAACTGTAAAAGCTTGAGATCTTTGTGTTTTTTAAGGCAGAATTAGTGATTTTTTTCAGCATGCTGCTCTACCCTTCTTCTTCCTTTACCCTTTTACCATGTATTTGTGGTAGACTGTCCTCATTACAGCAGACGCTGCTCCGGTTTTATCACTGGCTTGGATAGCCGTTGCATAGAAGTATTTCTGCTTTCCTCGCAAATGGGAATACTTTCTTAAAATTAGTGGTCTGTGACTATTTGACTGTCCTTATCCCAGGATAAGCCTTCGGTCCTATTTGAACCTTTCGGATTTGTGGGCCACTAAAATTTGTCAAGTGAACGCCGAGACATCTGCGTAGGGATTTTAAGCCTTGGACTATAGATTTACTTGATCTCACTTTCCACAGTTCTTTTAGAAGTAACGCAGAGATGCCCAGAGAACAAGGACCACAGGTCAACAGCCATTGATACATGCTGTTGGAACTTTCCTCCCAAGGCATTTATTTCTTTTTAGCCTTGTAGACTATAAGGCTTCTGTTTTTTGATCTCAAGAGAACTTACATGAAGAAGGTGCAACAGTGGTTTTTTTTTTTTTTTTTTTTTGAAGTGAAGATTGGGCACTTTACTGTGAAACTTTGGCCATTGTTAGATCTACTTTTTCCAGAGCTTTACTGTGTACTTTCAAGCACTGCCTGGGAGCCATATTACCTCTTTATGGATGTTGGATTACATCCAGCACTTTGAAGCCTTGAAATCCTTGTTGTCATCCTTGTGGCCATGTGGGTTTGTTGGTAAATGGTTAGTATTTCTTCAAAGAATGAATGACGTTTTTCCTTTTCCATTCTTTTTCTTGCTTATATACTTTGATCCAGGTCTCGCAAATTTAGACTTTTGTCAGGCAGAAAAGTTTCGTATGGAAAGCAAATGTTATTCCAGTCACTAACTACAGAGTGTGATGTTGTGGAGGACTGCAGATGCACTGTGGGCTCCCAAGTCTTTTAGTAAGCCTGCAGTGGTGCCTGCAGTCGGATAGAGGAGGGAGATCTCAGATAGGGTCCTTTAGCCTTAAAAGTCTGCCAAAGCACTTGTGGTTTCCCACTGAAAATGGGAGTGGGGAGAACCTATAATAAATACTGATCACTTACCATTGAATTTGATGCTCCTGGTATAAAATAGATGGCCCGGCCACTTTGTGCTTCTATTTGGCTTTTGGCAGAAGGTGCTAAAAGGTGCTGCTATGCAGAGATACAACTGCCCATTAAGGGGTCTCCTCCAACAGCAATAGCGGCACTGAGATGTGGAAACATCTCGAGGCGCCTGCAGCTGTTGAGAGCTGGCGTTCATGAGCAGACCGGCTGTCACGGTGTTCAGAGTGACGAGGGAACAGAGTGAGTTCAGTCTGGCTACCTGCCTGATTGTCTGTTCTGCAGTTTGTGGGTCACTTATTCTTGTCCAGTCAAGGCTTGTGTTTTGCTTATTCATAAAAGAAAATAATTGTGAGGATGACACTATTGCATTATAACTGTGAGATACTTTTGAAAAAATAAGCCAATGCCACTGCTTAGCCATGGATACGGAGGAAGGCTTTAAATATATCAGAGGCTTACGGTGGTTATCTAAGAGGCCGGATGATGGCCTTGAAAACTCTGGTAAGTTGCTATTGTGCTGAGATTTACTCGTCTACCTCACAGCAGTATGTGAGCTTCTTCCTGAGAACTGGGTCACTGAGGATCTGTTCCATCACCGGAGACTCTAAGTCAGATGGTTAGTTCTTCCCCATCTTTTGTGTTAGTCCAGGGATAGATGATAAAATAACACTCATTCATTAAAATCTTGAGGTAGACGCTATTTATGTTATTTTGAGGCTTGATAAAATTTCAAAGCTTTGAATGGCAAAAAAAAAAATAGTGTAAATATTTATATTGTGCAAGTTAGATGCTTCTGTAAATAATTAATACTGTTTTCCTTCCACAGCTATTTGGACATAGGAGAAACAAAGAAAAAACCTGCAGAGGTCAATAATGAGGTAAGATGTCTGAAATGTTTAAGGAATAAGCCTACTGTTAATATTAGTGACATCTCTGCATTTATGCCTGAAATTCTTGGGTTTTCAGAGATAATAAAATTATCTAGTATTCTGAACATAGCATTTCAATGATTATTACTCTGATTGTTCTGAACTTGATGAACTGGTTGTCTTTGTCCCAGCTTTCTGAATTGCCATGTCCAGGAATAAACCTTCCGTAAAGAAAATCTCGTGGTGTCGTCACTGGAGATGTTCATAAACCTAAGGGGTCTTTTTCATGCAGAAAAAGATGATGGAAATAAAAAGCACAATTTTAAATGGAGAACTTTGAGAATTTTGGACAATTAAATTTTCTTCAAAACTTGATATTTTCTCTAGAGAAAATGTATTTTGGTGTGAATAACTCACTTATTCATTTGCAAGCATAAAAATGCTTTTTTGCTGTGAAAACTAATGTTAATTGAAAACTTCTAATGAGTCCTAGTCCACAATCTTCCAAATTTACCTGTTTCAGAAAAGCTAACATATGTATTTGTGTGGGACACAGGACTCTGCATTATTTTTGCAGTTTTATTCTGTATAGCAATAGATATGATTATTGCAAAGATTTGCAATACAGCTTCTGCCTGACAAAAAGTATCGTCTCACAATTTTTTCTTTTCCCTTTGGTTTGTGCTCCCATGTCCTATTTCCAGCAATTTAATGGTTTGTGTAATAGTGTCTGAAGAGTGTAGACATATGAAAAGATCCCTCAAAACTGAACAGGCTTAGTGCCAATAATGACATTTGCTGTGATACTCTGACACTTCTTATTCAGAGGCTATATAATATGACAGAAGCAGTGACTGCTGAAATTGGTCGTAACTTTGTAACACACATTTTTTTGAAATGAGCACCATCAACAGGAAGATCAAATTCAATAGGAAGTCTGAGATTTGATTTGCTATCACAAATACCAACTGAGTTTACTCTAAAGTTGATTTTTTTTTTCTGTTCGTTTATTTATGCACTTGACTAGAAAATTGTAGGAGATAGTTTTGTTGTTCTGTATAGCCGTTCATTTCTGTTGTTTTGGGTCTTTCACAAAGGAAAGAAAGCAATTTTGAAAAATAAGAAAAAATAATTAAACACTGATGAGGCAACGGGGATATACTCTGTTGCCCAGGCACATGTAAAACAGAGCAACGTACTTGCACATATGCACTGTCTAAGCTTTCCCATATCATTTATCCATAAATTCAGTTTTTGTCCTCCAGCATTTTCTTATTCCAGTACTGAATGTCCTCTGATCAAAATTTGTAAATCTTGCTCAAACTAGTTACTGTGATGTTATGAGGTAAACAGACAGATATTTGACTAACTCATCTCAGTTTTAATTGTGACCTAAATAAGAGATTATAATTATTTCTGAGATAAAAAAGATTTGCACGCTGGCACTATTGCACTTACCTGAACTTTCTACTCATAAAGGAGAGATCTGAAACAAAAAAAATTGGTCTTTACTATTCTTCTGAACACCTGAATATGTAAGTAGCACCGTATTTTATGTTAAAACAATGTCTGGGTTAAAAAGAAAGTGTTTTTTGCATATCCAAGAGGAGAAAAGGAGGAGACGAGAACATGAGAAAGTTGTTTCTGATTATCTCTGAAAATGTGGTGGGTTGCATTCACTATAATGTGCAATTCCCATTAATAAAATTGTGTGGTGTGACTAATTCCATATGCACTTTGCTGAAAAGATGACTCTCTTCGTGGAAGGTTCTTAACCAAATATTCCGATACTGTCAATTATCAGGATTACTGCAGGGCTTGCTACTTTAAGTCCAGTTTTGAGGCTGATGATTTTGCTGCAAATCCTAACAAGGTTCTCAATATAATAGAAATTCAATAGAGAGGATTTGGGGAAGTAGTACTAATTGTTTTCTTTACTTAGAGTTGTATGTTTGATAAGAGAAACCTCTGTAATTTCTCCTGGAATCAGTGCTCATTGTACATCATTCTAGCATTTTCAGCACTCTCAGAGCTCTGAAGTAAACCAGGATAAACCATGCATTATTTCAGCTTTTTCTTTGCCATTTGGCTTATGTTTGCAATCTCCATGGACTCTGTGGAGTGTTTAACTCCCCATGTTGAGTTTATTTTTATGTGATTGATTTATTTGGGAAGAGGAGTCCTAAAAATGAAATGAAACCTAGTAATAGTCTATAGGTGTTCACCTGGGCATATGAAGAACACAGTTTTCATGCTCTAATCATTTAGGTCTAGGAACGAACTTTCGGGGGTTTGGTAACAGAAATGTTAATGTCTAAATACAATTATGTTAAAATAATTTGAGGAAATAAATTCTGTTTTTACTTTTTTTTTAAAGCTTCACTTTCTTGTCTTGAAATAAAAAACACTACATATGTGTTAAGACCAGGAAGGGCAGCAGGATTGCTACATTTTTATTCTCTTTGATTCTATTGGATTTGCATCAGCAAGTACAAAATTATATTTTTTCATTGAGCCTTGTAGGCATCTTTGACGCTAGCACGCAAAGATTTTTTGCTTCCATCAGGCATTATTTTAAATTGTATTTCAGAAATAAAACCTTCTGTGTTTGTTTAATTAGAAGAAAAAAAATGAGTGCATGTCTGAATGACAGCATTGCAACAGAAAAAAGAAATGTATGATTCGGCCCTGCAAGCACAACCACGCGTGGTTTTCAAGATGTAAGTTGCCTCATTGGCTTCACCAGGAAGCCTGACATGAAGTTATGCATGTACAGCGAAATTTGTGGGGGGAGGAGGGAAGAAAGGAAAGAAAATTATTTAGTTAAGTATTTCTCAGTTTAGCTTTGCAAGTCCCTTGCCAGAGTAAAGACCTCTGTGCTAAATATTGAACAGAAAGCTCGGAGGTGGTCTCCCAGACAACTTCAGGCTAACATCAGGATGTGCTTTTAGGCTGACCTTTGCTGGAACGCTTCTTCTCTTTGTGCTAATGCCGGAGCCTTAACTTGCTCTCCCTCGTGAGCTCCACCGCTTTGTTTTGCCCAAACGTTTTTCGAACAAGACAGAATTGGTCAGGGCTCCCTGGATACTGGGATATTTGCATGGTTTGGCATGCTGCAGCTAATCTGAGCCTTGAGATGGCAAAGACTGTTCTTAAAGTGTGCTCCTGGAGATGGCCGGCCTGCCTCCCCTCTGGTCTGGCTGCTGCTTCGGTCCCACAACAAGGTGGTATTTTTCTGAACGTGACCATGAGAATGAGAAATCACAGAATAAATGGCCTCATGCACCAGTATTCCTGAGGATTGGTGCACACAGAATTGATACATGGGGCTTTTCTGTTGCCCATGGGAAGAGGTGGTCTTGAAGCTATTAGCACCGGCTTGCCCTAGGCCGAACTTGGGAAGCCGATGGATCCTGGCTTGGTGGTGGTAACAATAGTTTTAATGTTCTGTACCTGCGTAGTGCTGTTTATCAGGCTCTGATAGCTTTAAAGAGCACAGAAACAGTATTTGAGAAATTCGTAGTCAATGGTTAAAGTTAGCATACTTATGCACACGGGGATGGATTCTGGTTTTATGACGTACGCTTAATTTGGCATTTCCTACCTGCTGAGGGTTTCTCAGTGTTAAGTTTTTCTCCAGTATAACAATTACAAATATATATTTCTGTTTCTCATTAATGAAGGGAGAGGCAAAAGGAAGAAAAAAACATAGGCAGTAGCTGTCTGTAGATACACTGTGTATCTGTATGCAGCTGTAGGTTTTCTTTTGTATTAGTTAAACTACCGAACGTTTGACATCTGCTTTTGGGAGTACTGTAATGTTATTCTTTGAAGGCAGCATCTCAATTACTTTAAATTTGCGTATAACTGGAAGTCTTGTGTCAAACTAAAGCAGGAGAGAATTCATGTTAAAGATACAATGTAAATATGGTGACCTACATTCAGAAAGAAGAGTAGATGAAAAAATACAAAGCACGAGCTTCTTACTAAACTACTCTCACTTTTCTCATGGAGTGACAAAACAGAGCAAGTGATCATCAGAAATTGGTTTCTCTTCTTTCCTGAAATCTGTATCTGTGAGTCTTATTTTGTAAGGAATGTGTTCCTGAGCAAAGAGTGAGAGCTTTAAGGAATAATTTTTGTTTCATCAATTCTGAGAACTAGTCTAAAGTAGTTCTTTAGTGTTCATCCTTGCAAGATGACCAGATTTAACATGTGGGAAGGGATTCTGTCCCTGACAAAAGGAGTATTCGGTATCTCTGTTATACTCTGGTTCAATTTTAGCTGGGGCTCTGCGAATACCATGTTCCTGTGGGCCCATAAGATGCACTATGCCTTGCCCGACACGTTTAGCGCTAACAATGACTCACAGCTAGGAAGGATGTGTGTTCTTTGTGCGTCCTCTACAAATAACGAGGAGCTTTGGGGAAGCCTTGGTCAAGAGGGTCCTAAAGTAAGTATGCTGTTACAATACAGCAATTAATAAAATATGTAGTATTGTATAATTCATTAAGCATTATACATTCATGAAATGCTACGTGTCTATTTAAGGTAGAGATGGAACATGCAAACTGTTGTGATTATCTGTAAGAAGGGTTGGGGTGGAATGGTTTGGGAAGACGCATTACTTCTGTCTAAGAAGACAGATTTACAAATGAGAGTCTGTACCACTAAAATACCTTTGCGGTGTCAGTAGTTGATTTCACTGTGGGCTGTCTTCAGGGAAAGATGGATCGGGTGGAAGGAGTGTATTGTCTGTTCCCTAAGAGTAGCGTCAGCATGTAACTGACGGCGCCCTATGTTAAGCGGGGCAATATAAGAAAGCTTGTACTTCTGCTTTTTTCTGGTGTATCAACTGCACCTAGCAGTTCAATTGCAAGGGCTTTTCTTTTAAAAATAAGCATAGTTTTAAAAACAGTTGAAATATGACAACAATAACAATGCTGTTATAATATTGCAAAATAGCTGTAGTCTTGGTCTGTGAGGCCTGACCATCAATCAGAGTTGGG